AATGTCTATTTAGATCTTCTGCCTTTTTTTTGGCCGTGCAGCTTGGCTTGTAGGATCTTAGTTCCCTGAACAGTGATCAAACCTGGGCCCTTGGCAGTGAAAGCATGTAGTCCTAACCACTGGACCACCAGGGAATTCCCTGCCCAGTTTTTGATTTGGTTGTTTTTTTTGATACTGAGCTGCATGAGCTGTTTGTATATTTTGGAGATTAATCCCTTGTTGGTTGCATCATTTGCAAATATTTTTTCCCATTCTATGGGTTGCCTTTTCGTGTGTGTGTGTGTGTTTTTTTTTTTTTTGTGGTACGTGGGCCTCTCACTTTTGTGGTCTCTCCCTTTGCGGAGCACAGGCTCTGGATGCACAGGCTTAGCGGCCATGGCTCATGGGCCCAGCCGCTCTGTGGCATGTGGGATCCTCCCGGACCAGGGCACAAACCCGTGTCCCCTGCATTGGCAGGCGGACTCTCAACCACTGTGCCACCAGGGAAGCCCTTGTTTTTTTGTTGTGTTTTTTTGTTTTTTTGTTTTTTGTTTTGTGTGTGTGTGTGTGTGTGTGTGTGTGTGCGCGCGCGTGCGTGCGTGCTGGGTCTTCATTGCAGTGTGTGGGCTTCTCTAGTTGTGGCGCGTGGGCTTCTCTAGTCTCTAATTATGGTGTGCAGGCTTCTCTAGTCTCTAGTTACGGCGTGCAGGCTTAGTGGCCCCATGGCATGTGGGATTTTAGTTCCCCGACCAGGGATCGAACCCGCGTTCTCTGAATTGGAAGGTGGATTCTTAACCACTGGAACACCAGGGAAGGCCCGTCTTTTCGTTTTGTTTATGGTTTCACAAAGGTAGAATTTAAGTGTATTTGTTCATAGCAGACTTTTGATAGTAGAAGTGGCTCTTATTACATTTTATTGTAATTAAACTTTGCTCTCTTGGAATATGGACAATATTCTCCATGGAAATTGTCTTTTTTTTCTTTTTTAAAAATGTATTTATTTTGGCTGAGCCTGATCTTAGTTGTGGCATGCGGGCTCTTAGTTGAAGCATGCATGCGGGATCTAGTTCTCCAACCAGGGATCGAACCCAGGCCCCCTGCTTTGGGAATGCGGAGTTTTACCCACTGGACCACAAGCGAAGTCCCTTCATGGAAATGTTCTTAGTGCAATTTTTTGCTGTTGTTGTTTGAATAAAAGTATAAGGTTTTCTTAAGATAAATTTGAAGTTTACTACCGAAGAGGTTATATGAATATTTGTCGTTTAAATTCAGAGATCTAAAGTACTGCAAATTGAAATATGCTAAAGTAAGTTATGGTTTCTATCAGGTTAGTTTACAAATAAAAATTTTACAAATAAAAAACAAACAAAAGCTGTAACTGAGGGATTTCTCAGGTGGTGCAGTGGTTTAGACTTGGCACTCCCAGTGCAGGGGGCCTAGGTTCGATCCCTGTTCTGGGAACCAGGTCCCACATTCATGCTGCAAGTAAGAGTTCGCATGCCACAACTAAGGAGCTGGCAGGCTGCAACTAAGGAGCCCACCTGCTGCAACTAAGACCCGATGCAACCAAATAAATAAATAAATATTAAAAAAAACTAACTGAAATTAGGTTGTTTTTATGGGAGCAATGTTAATGAAACAGTTAATTCCCTAGTTATTGTTATTTATTTATTTTGCCTTTTAACACATTATTTTAATGCCATGAAGATAGTTTATTATAGTACATTGCTGTCAGTTATATTTTTGTTTGGTGTATTTCTAGGAACCAGAGAAGATATATTTATATTCTCTATAACTATCTACGTAGCTTGGTATTATAGTCGATTTCAAGAAGCACAGTGTTTGAGAAAAGCCAGATTACCTCAAATGAGTAAGATTTATTTTAAAATCTATTAGCAATTTCCATAAGTGCCATAATCCTTTTGCCAATGATTTGCCATTTAGAGTATTCAGGTACTAATTTACTAAATTTTATTGCTGTATATGTTTGAATCCAGAATATCATCATACTTTTTTCTAGATAATTGTCAGTGACATTGTATCTGGTTTCTTTACGTGTATTCATTTGTAGTCAGAGTTAATTTTGTCTTTATTTAACATAGGAATATATGTGTTGTTAAGATATTTTTAGTGCATGTTTAGCCACATAGATGATTCACAGTCTTTTTATCTGGTTGTTCATATTTGAGGGTTATGACTTGGGGGAATTGGTAATAGTAGGTCATGGTGACATGATCCTTCAATTTAGGAGGAGGGGGTGAAGTCTGCTGCATGAATCTGAAATACCCAAATCTCTTAATCTCCTTTTGCCACCACTTTTGTTACTGTTCTTATCTTGGTGCACGGTGTAGCTGACTTACTCATCTCTAAGTTTTTCTCTGTTTTAATATTAGAATTATGGTGCCCTTTTGACATATCTTGCAAATACTGACCAAATGAATATTCCAAATTTCAAGTGTTTTTCAAAGACTGTGTTGTAAATTTTACTGTTTTAAAAATGTTATTATTTTTTTAAAGAAAACATGGTTCTTAGTTATTTGTATGTACACTAAGGGCTTTGATGTCATTTTCATGCTAAGGAAACAGACACATTGAAGATGCTTATCCTTCACTCAGGTATGAGTGCTACAGGCCTGAAGAATAATCCCCACTTTAGTATTTTCATGCCTTTTGCAGTGGGCTTGGATGCTGAGAAGCTATTGGTTGCTTTTATAGGTACCAAGAAAAGATTCCAAGACTCTCAAGTATAGTTAGAATTAATTCGTGACTCATTATAGAGTTAACTGACTCATAGATAAAGCAGTTAGTTTATGTTTTGTGTTTAGTTGCTTATGAATCTTTTCTAGTTACTCTCTATATATTTTCTTTAGAATGCTATTTACCCACTATAGAACTTCATTAATTGCAGAATCAGAAACTAGTTTTTGCCTCTGGGCAATCTAATCTTTTTCCTAGGAAGAAATACCTGGATTAAATCTGTAGCCTATTCACAGTACCAAGAGAGCATTTGGTAAAAATAAAAATTAAAAAAAAAAAGTAAAAAACTATTTAGAAACCTCTCTGACCGTCCTTATAAATCAGCTAGACAAATACTGAAAATGTGTCAAATATTAAAGGATCATTGGATAGTGACAACAGTTATGGGAGAGGGAGTAAATATCTCCTGCTTTCTCTGGTGTTGTGTAGAATTGAAATCAGAAAAGCATTTAGTTTTGCATAACAGTTTTTGGTTTATGATGCAAATTCAGTAAGGCAAACAGTTGTTTTGAGTAAAAATAAAACCAAGAGAGTGTATCTGACCTCTATTGTGATAAGCTTCTTAATGAATTATGTTGTTCTTAGATGCAGTTTAGTAATTTTCATATTCTAGCAAGATATTTAAAGTGATATTCTACCTATAAGTAAAAAATTTGGCTGTTACTTTATGAAAGTCAGAGTGGCTTATAAATACTTCGTAACATTTGATACATTTAAATTGGCAGAATGGCGATTTTCTTTAGTTTTCGTTGTTGGGTTGATGGGTGGTACTTTTTTTTTTTTTTGGCTGCGCCACAGGGCATGCAGGATCCTAGTTCCCTGACCAGGGATCTAACCCGTGCCCCCTGCAGTGGAAGCGCAGAGTCTTTTTTAATTTATTTATTTGTTTGTTTATTTATTTATTTATTTATGGCCGCGTTGGGTCTTCGTTGCTGCGCGCTGGCTTTCTCTAGTTGCAGCGAGTGGGGGCTACTCTTCATCGCGGTGTGTGGACTTCTCATTGTGGTGGCTTCTTTTCTTGTGGAGTACGGGCTCTAGAGCGCAGGCTCAGTAGTTGAGGGGAACGGGCTTAGTTGCTCCATGGCATGTGGGATCTTCCCAGACCAGGGCTCGAACCCGTGTCCTCTGCATTGGCAGGGGGATTCTTAACCACTGCGCCACAAGGGAAGGCGGAAGCGCGGAGTCTTAACCACTGGACCGCCAGGGAAGTCCCGGGTGGTACTTTCATTAGTGGGAAATTGTAAAATTATTTTTTTAACAAACACAATTTGTCTTAATTTATCAGTTCTTTTGATGTATAGTTTCCCATAACTATGTGGAAACCTCCAAATGCACTGTTAAATTTGGTTCTCATAATTTTATAAATGAGGCAGAAAAGGCCTTATTATCTCCATTTTGCAAATTATAAAACAGGCTTAGGGAGAGGCTTGATCAAATTCTCATAAGTTACTTAATTGTCTTAATTGATGTGATAAAAAATTTTTAATTATCTGTTTAAAATGAAATTCATCACATCTACTACCTCTTTTATATTTATTTCAGTGTCTTTAAATATTTGTTCCAGCCTCTTGAATCACAGTGACAGGAGCTTTAGGAACATGGCTTTAGGCATATATCTTAACTTAGTGCTTTGGTATAATTATCAGTGGCACTTAGTGATTTATGCTAGAAGAAGTTGGTGTTAACTTTGTTTAGTGTCATGAAACTTGTTTTGTCATTGGGGTAACATTGGAAAGCGAGATGTAAAAAGCAAAGTGACTAATTTTTAATTTTTTTCCTCACTTCCGTTGCCTGCCCTCTGGTGGAGAAGTTAGTGAAATCAGCAAACAGTGTGTGAAAAGTCCAGGAAAAAAGTTAATAATTGTTTAATTTAGTATTTGAAAAGTTTAATGTATGTTACCATTTCAGGTTTAGTTTTTAGTCTTATAAACTTCGGAGAGGGGCTTCCCTGGTGGCGCAGTGGTTGAGAGTCCGCCTGCCGATGCAGGGGACACGGGTTTGTGCCCTGGTCCGGGAAGGTCCCACATGCCGCGGAGCGGCTGGGCCCGTGAGCCATGGCCGCTGAGCCTGTGCGTCCGGAGCCTGTGCTCCGCAACGCGAGAGGCCACAGTGAGAGGCCCGCGTGACGCAAAAAAAAAAAAACTTTGGAGGGGACAAATGTGGGATTAAACTTTTAAGCATAAATAGATTTCTTAGAGATATACAAATTTGTATTTCTAATTATGTTTCTGTGTTTCTCAAAATATTTTGTTATTGTTTCTAAGGTTCTTTTTGAAGTCTCACAAAGTTTAAAAATGGAAAATGAAGAATTTAAGAAGAGTTACAATGATGCTACATCCAAAGCCCTCCAGCTTGAGGAAGATATTGTGTCAGTCACACATAAAGCGATTGAAAAAGAAACTGAATTAGACAGGTATTCCCGATGCTTTAAAAAAGTATCTTCGTGTTTTAAAACTGTTTTAAGAAAGTTGTTTTTGTCTATGTTAACATTATTTGACTTTAACTCAGTTTAAAGGACAAACTCAGAAAGGCACAATATGAAAGAGAACAGCTTGAATGTCAATTGAAGACAGAAAAGGATGAGAAGGAACTTTATAAGGTAATTTATTCTTTACATTTTTATTAGTTATCTTTTGCTGTGTAACATGTTACCCCAAAACTTAGTGGTCAGGAATTTGGGAGCAGCTTAGCTGAGTGGTTCTTGCTCAGGGTCTCTTGTGTAGTTGCAGTCAGGATGTTTGGCAAGGGCTGCAGTCAGCCAAAGGCTCAATTAGAACTGGAGAATCTGCTGTCAAAGTGGCTCACTCACATGACTTTTGGCAGGAGGCCCTTCAGTTTCTTGGAATGTTGCCTCTTCAGTGGCTGCTTGAATGTTCTCACAATATGGCTGCCAGCTTCCCTTAGAGTGAGCTATACAAGAGAGAGCAAGGAGGAAGTCAGTGCATTTTATGACCTGGTCTCCAGGTTGTACACTGATGCTTCTTCTTTATCTTATTAATTAGAAGCAAGTCACTCCAGCTGATACTCAGGAGAAGGAAATTAGGCTCCACTTCTTTAAGAGAGGAGAATCAAAGGTTTTGGGAGTATATTTTAAAGCTGCCTCATTGTGTATAGTCCCTAATTAGTTTTCAGGGAATTAAATTGCTGGAGTTTTATATACTTAGCAGGTAATGTATAATAAGTCAAAGAGTTGTAATGGTAACAAGGTACCTGTTTATCAGAATTTGTGCAACTAATTGTTTTCCCCTTTTAAGAATATATGAACCTTAAGGAGAGCATTAATTTACTTCAGTGATGATCATGTTTTGGAGTTTGCCTTTTGGAATAATCTTCAGAGACTGTCATTTTAAAAAAGATCCTGTTGACAAATCTTCACCTTTTGACGTTTTTCCTCCTTTCCTTTTTAAGTGACGCTGAAGTAGGGTAGTGAGCTTTAGTTGTCAATAATGTTGTGGATGCGTATTGGGACTTACTTATTTTAAGTGGCTCATAAGCAGTTCCTGAAGGAAGTTCCAGATGAGGAATTTCAAGAACAGTCTGAGCTAAGTCAGTATTATTTGGATAGATTCAGTCTCTTTATTAGATTAGAAAAGGACAGTACTCATTTATATATTGATATTATGGTATATATTAAAGATAAAACATAAAACTCTGCATATATTCAGTATTTGAGAGTCTCAATTTGTACTAAGAAACTAAAATATGATTTATTTTATTACCGGTGGGTTTCTTCCTCCTTCTCTGTAAAAAACAACTATTCATTTATGTATATACATTGATAAGCTAGATACCAACATTGGGTACCCAAGTATGAAATTTCAAATCTATTCTGAGGATCACCTCTTTTTTCTTCCATTTTTATTGAGATATAATTGACATATAGCACTGTATAAGTTTATAGTGTACAGCATAATGATTTGACTTGTGTACATCATGGAGTGATTACCACAATAAGTTTAGTGAACATTCGTCATCTCATATAGATATAAAATAAAAGATTTTTTTCCTTGTAATGAGAACTCTAAGGATTTACTCTCTTAATAACTTTCATATCAATATATAACATACAGCAGTGTTAGTTTTAGCTATCATGTGGTACGTTACATCCCTAGTACTTATAACTGGAAGTTTGTACCTTTTGATTACTTTCATAATTCCCCCTTCCCCCCACCCTCTGCCTCAGGTAACCACAACTCTGATCTCTTTTTTCACGAGTTTGTTTGTGAAGTTTAATTGACCTACACACAACTGAAGTTAGTTTCTGGTGCACAGCATAGTGATTTGATATTTCTGTACATTTCAAAATGATCACCACAGTAAGTCTAGTTACCACCTGTCACTATACAAAGATATTACATAATTATTGACTATATTCCCCGTGCTGTACACTTCATACCTGTGACTGATTTTATTTTGTAACTGGAAATTTGTACCTCTTAATCTTCCTCACCTGTTTCTCTAATCCTGTCCCCCACAGCCCAGCAACCACTTGTTTGTTCTCTTCATCTATGACTTTCTTTTTTATGTTTGTTCATTTGTTTTGTTTTTTAGATTCCACATGTAAGTGAAATAATATGATATTTATCTTTGACTTATTTCACTTAGCATAGTAATGTCTGGGTCTGTCCATGTTGTTGCAGATGGCAAGGTTTTTCTTTTTTTATGGCTGAGTAATAGTCCAGTGTGTGTGTGTGTTTATGTGTATGTATGTACACACCACATCTTATCCATTCATCTATTGATGGGCATGAGGCAGGATGAATTGGGAGATTAGGATTGACATATATACACTATTGACACTATGTATAAAATAGATAACTAATGAGAGCCTACTGTATGGCACAGGGAACTCAATGCTCTGTGGTGACCTAAATGAGAAAGGAAATCAAAAAAAGAGGGGATAAATGTATACGTATAGCTGATTCACTTTGCTGTACAATATAAACTAACACAATATTGTAAAGCAACTATACTCTAATTAAAAAAAAAAATAGATGGGCACTTAGGTTGCTTCCATATCTTGGCTGTTGTAGGTAATGCTGCAACATAGGGGTGCTTATAGCTTCTCAAATTAGTGTTTTGTTTTCTTCAGAGAAATAACCAGGAGTGGAATTGCTGGATCATGTGGTTCAATTTTTAACTTTTTTTTTTTTTTAAGGTCGCACTGTGTGGCATCTTAGTTCCCCAACCAGGGATCAACCCTGTGCCCCCTGCATTGGGAGCACAGAGTCTTAACTACTGGACCACCAGGGAAGTCCCTATTTAAAATTTTTGAGTAACCTCCATACTGTTTTCCATAGTGACGGCACCAGTTTACATTCCCACTAACAGTGCAGGGGGGTTCCCTTTTCTCCACATTCTTGCCAACACTTGTTATTTGTTGTCTTTTTGATAGTAGCCATTCTGACAGGTGTGAGGTGATAATCTCATTGAGGTGGTATTTGATTTCTATTTTCCTGATGATTAGTGATGTTGAACACCTTTTCATTTGCCTGTTGGTCATCTGTATGTCTTTGGAGAAATGTCTATTCAGGTTCTCTGCCCATTTTTTAATTGGACTTGTGTTTTTGATGTTGAGTCATATGAGTTCTTTGTAGATTTTAGATATTAACTCCATGTTGGTTGGATATATCACTTGCAAATATTTTCTCCCATTCAGTAGGTGGCCTTTTCATTTTGTTGACAGTTTCCTTTGCTGAGTAAGAGCTTTTTAGATTGACGTAGTCCCATTTGTTTTATTTTTGCTTTTGATTCCCTTGCCTGAGGAGACACATCCAAAAAAATATGCTAAGACTGATGTCAAAAAGCATACTGCCTATGTTTTCTTCTAGAAGTTTTATGGTTTCAGGTTTTACATTTAAGTCTTTAATCCATTTTGAGTTTATATATGGTGTGAGAAAGTAGTTCAGTTTGATGATTTTGCATGTAGCTGTCCAGTTTTCCCAATACCATTTATTGAAGAGGTTGTCTTTTCCCTGTTGTAATATTCTTGCCTCCTTTGTCATAGATAAATTGCTTATATAAGTGTGAGTTCATTTCTGGGCTTTCTGTTCTGTTCCACTGATCTATGTGTCTGTCTTTTTTAATTTTTGGCTGCATTGGGTCTTCAGTGCTGTGCACGGGCTTTCTCTAGTTGTGGCAAGGGAGGGCTACTCTTCATTGCGGTGCGCGGGCTTCTTACTGCGGTGTCTTGTTGTGGAGCACAGGCTCTAGGTGCGCGGGCTTCAGTTGTTGTGGCACACAGGCTGTAGACCACAGGCTCAGTAGTTGTGGTACACGGGCTCAGTTGCTCTGCGGCATGTGGGATCTTCCCGGACCAGGGATCAGACCCGTGTCCCCTGCATTGGCAGGCAGATTATTAACCACTGCGCCACCAGGGAAGTCCCAAAGTTGTTTTTTTTGGGGGGGAGGTGTGCGGTGTGCCTCGAGCCATGCGGAATCTTATTTCCCTGACCAGGGATCGAATCCGTGCTCCCTGCAGTGGAAGCTGGAGTCTTAACTACTGGACCACCAGGCAAGTCCTAGGTGTCTGTTTTTGTGCAGTACCATACTGTTTTGATTACTGTAGCTTTGTATACAAAGTATATTTAATGTGATATACTGCATTAAAAAATTGAAGGATAAAGATTATATGATCATCTCAGTAGATGCAGAAAAAGCTTTTGACAAAATTCAGCATTCATTTGTGGTAAAACCTCAAGTGGGTATAGAGAGAACATACCTCAACATAATAAAAGCCATATATGACAAGCCCACAGCTAACATTGTAACGTACTCAGTGGTGAAAAGCTTGAAAGCACTTCCTTTAAGATCAGGAACAAGACAAGGATGCCCACTCTGACTACGTTTATTCCACATAGTATTGGAAGTCCTAGCCACAGCAGTCAGACAAGAAAAAGAAAGAAAAGGAATCCAAATTGGAAAGGAAGTAGTAAAACTGTCACTGTTTGCAGATGACATGATACTATATACAGAAAATCCTAAAGATGCCACCAAAAAACTATTCCTCAATGAGTTTGGTTAAGTTGCAAGGTACAAAATTAATATACGGAAATATGTTGCATTTCTATATACTAACAACAAACTCTTGGAAAGAGAAATTAAGAAAACAATCCCATTTACAATCAAAAGGAATAAAATAGGAAAAAATCTAAGGAGTTACAAGCTCTGTACTGGGAAAACTATGAGACATTGATGAAAGAAATTGAAGATAACACAAACAAATGGAAAGATATGCTGTGCTTATGGACTGGAAGAATATACATTGTTAAAATGACCATACTACCCAAGGCAATCTACAGATTCAGTGCATCCCTATTAAAATATCTATGGTGTTTTTCACAGAACTAGAACAAATAATTCTAAAATCTATATGGAAACACAACAGACCCTGGATAGCCAAAACAATCCTGAGAAGAACAAAGCTGGAGGTGTCATGCTCCCTTATTTCAAACTATACCACAAAGCTACAGTAATTTCCTTCTTATTATGGGGGGTGGTTAATTTTTTTTTAGTCTTTAAAATTTTTTGCCTTTAAAATAAAAAATTTGAGTCCACTGTGCACCTCATGGCAGAGCATAGATAGGAACATTTTGCATGTCTTGGGTTATACCCATTCTGTTTCTTGGAACAACCATCCATGGAGTGTGAGTGTGTGTGTGTGTGTGTGTGTGTGTATGTGTACCATCCCCGGAGTGTGAGAGAGTGTGTGTGTGTGTGTGTACCATCCCGGGAGCGTGAGAGAGAGAGAGAGAGTGTGTGTGTGTGTGTGTGTGTGTCTCCCCCAGAATAGGAAGGAAAATAGTGAAGACTCACTGGTGGATGATTTTATGATTTGACTCTAAGGAAAAGTGCCCAGGTATAATGTTTGGTTTTTGAACAGTTGGATACAGTGTCTTTGTTTTTTTTTCTTTTCTTTTCTTTTTTTTTTTTTTTGCTTTTTTTGCAAACTACTTTCAAATGCACTTTTTAAAAAAAATTTTTTTTTGTGGTACGCGGGCCTCTCACTGTTGTGGCCTCTCCCGTTGCGGAGAACAGGCTCCGGACGCGCAGGCTCAGTGGCCATGGCTCACGGGCCCAGCCTCTCCGCGGCACATGGGATCTTCCCAGACCGGGGCACGAACCCGTGTCCCCTGCATCGGCAGGCGGACTCTCAACCACTGCGCCACCAGGGAAGCCCTCAAATGCACTTTTTTAAAGTTATAAAGGATTTTTTAACTAAATGAAGATTTTGCATCTGTAATAATTTTTTATTTAATGTTACTTTGAATTTCAGTGATAATGTTTCAGTTTTGTGCCAGGAAAAGACCTGGGCATTATTTCTCTGGATAATTAAGTACTTTCCATGTTGCTTCTCTGTTAGAACAGTGGGAGATAATTAGGTAAATAGCATGTCAGTCATTTTACTTCAATAATAAATTAAATAAAATGAATTCTGAAGGTATACTAGTTAGTATTGGGAAGGGTTTAGGAAGGTCCTAAGTAAACCAGGACCTCGTTTACTTACTTTACTTACCTGGTTTGATGCTTGAGAAGTGTAATGATAATTAGAATGACTTATTTTGGAAAGAGGAAGACTTTTCCCTGAAGCTGTCACCTTTCCATCCTGCCTTTCTTTTCTCTCTTCTATCCTGAGAAACAGTACTTGCAGTGTTTTGTAGAGGGTTTACAAGTACATTTTAGGGTAAATCCAGAGTTTATTTTTCTTTTACTGCTCTAAATTATTTATTCCTTATATTCCTTTTTTCTTTCTGCACAGATTTTGTGTGTCTGTTGTACACCTGAGTGACGAGTCCTTTGCATAAGATTTAGGAGGGAGGAAGGCAAAGAACGAGTGTCTTGGGGGTTTATTCTTTTACAGTGTGCTAATATCTCCTGTTTTCTGTAAGAATTAGCAGTTGGGATCAAAATGACTCTGAAATTTCCATTTGAATACACTCTCTCCCAACCTCCCAGTGTCCTGAACAGTATTTCATTTATATGCATATATGCCGAAAATTGGAAGTAAAACTTCCCTAGGGATTTTTGTTTTGTGTTTTTTTGGCAAGGAGATTCCACTTACCGAGTGTGGTAAGACCTACTATAGTGTTAATCTCAGAAACATACTTTCCCTTTCAAATTGTTCTCATGAGTAACCAAATAGTTTCCTTTGCCTCTCTCCTCTAACCCCTGTTGGATCACGTGACCCATCCCTGGCCTAACAGAATTTAGAGGAATTGGTAAAAAATGCTTTCATGAGCTGATGATTATGAAAATTGGGTAGTGTTTTTAAATTGATGCTGCAAAGGTCTTGGCGGCTGATACCTTTAGATTATCTGGAGTTATATTCTTTCATTGTGAACAGGAATTAGCCTTCAGCATTGCATACATTAAGAGTAAAGTGCAAAAAGTATGTTAATTCATTTCTCTTTGATGCTCTTAACCAAAGCAAGGTACTCTTTATAGTGGAAACCAGATACTTGTACTCTTTATAATTTCAGTTACGGAATTTGATTTGTGTATATGCTATGAACAACAGCAGCCAAAGTCCCTGGAAGAATCAATATAGTTCGGTTAATTAATCAACAAATAAATTTTTAGGCACACAGGGAGTAAATGACTTAGTATTTTTTCATAAGCAAAAAATTGAATTGCTTAAGATGTTCTTGAATGTATTCCTTTAGTTTTCCAGAATCTGGTCTTTATATATGCATATGCCTGTAACTTAATGTTTCCCCAAAAGAACAACCAAATTCATTTGTAATTTTAAAGAGAACTAACTTAAAATCATCAAAGGAAAAGACTTTAGAGATCAGGTAGTGTTAGACCTTAGAATTCGTCTCTTTGGAAAACTAAAACAGCAGCAACACCAAATTCAGAAAAGCTGTGTTCTGCGCCCACGTACTTGGCTAGTCATTTGGCAGAATTTGGGTCTCCTGACTTCTCGTTTAGTGAATCTTCCCTTCTCTTGGATCATATTTGGGTTAGAGATAAAGAGTAATATTTTAAACTTTGAGTAACTTAGGTTATAGAGTTAGAAAGAATATTCTTGACATTTTCAAGCACTGTTTCAGGTACATTTGAAGAATACAGAAATAGAAAATACCAAGCTTGTGTCAGAGGTCCAGACTTTAAAGAATTTAGATGGGAACAAAGAAAACATGATTACTCATTTCAAAGAAGAGATTAGCAGACTGAAGTTCTGTTTGGCTGAAAAGGAGAATCTACAGAGGGCTTTCTTGCTTACAACCTCAACTAAGGTAAGTACTTTTGCAATATGTAGATTGTTTTTTTTTTGCAATATGTAGATTGATGATTGTAAAATATTATCTCTATTAAACGTATACAGTATGGTCGTTTTTATTTTTAATCTTTCCTCCCCCAGCTTCTTTTTTGGAAAAAGTTCAAACTTATAGAAGAGTTGAAAGAATAGAAAAATGAATGCATATATATCCTAAAATATTTTGCTGTCTTTATCGCCCCCATTTATATGCCTTCTCCTCCCCACCCCAGCCATTTGAAAGTCAGTTGCAGGCATTATGACATTTCGCCCTAAATACTTTAGCATGTCTCTCTTATTAATAAGTACATTCTTCTGTATAACCATAATACCATTATGACATCTAAGGAATTTTATATTGATATAATATTCATGTTCGTATATAGTTTTAGTCCACATTCAAATTGTCCCACGTGTATTTTTGCATAACCTTTAAAATTGCTTAATCCCCGGTAGTCAGAGATCACACATTAATGATTATTGTGTTCTTGGTCTGCTCTAATCTAGAACAGTGTCCCTCTACCGTTTGTCTTTTATAACATTGATATTTTTTAAGAATTCAGGCTTGTCTGAGAGAATATTCCATAATCTAGATTTGTCTGTTGTTTCCTCATGACTAGATTCAGGTCGAAGATTTTTGGCAAGAAAAGGCGTTGGTGATGTTTTGTACATTCTGGTGCAATCACATCAAAAGTCATGTAATATCAATTCCATTCTTGCTGATATTAGGTTTAATCATGTGTTTAAAGTTATGTCTGGTTGTCTATCCATATATTGTTGCCTTTCTCTCTTTGTGATTATTGAGTAATCTGTGGGGTAATACTTGGAGATCATGTGAACATCCTACTCCCCAATACTCTTTGACCCAGTGTTTTTCATCCCTTGATGATCCTTTCCTGCATCAGTTATTGAATTAATGATTACAAAATGGTGATTTTAAAAATTCTGTCATTCCATTTATGTTTATTAGTAGGTATTCTTTTACTATAATGAGGTGGTTCCCTGTTGCCCTCTCCCCCTTTTTTATATCACTATAGACTCTGACTCTTTTTTGTTCCGTATATTATACATCAGCGGTCCCCAACCTTTTTGGCACCAGGGACCAGTTTCGTGGAAGACAGTTTTTTCTCGGGGGTGGGGGTGGGGGTGGGATGGTTTGGGCTGATTCAAGCACATTACATTTATTGTGCACTTTATTTCTATTATTATTACACTGTAATATATAATGAAATAATTATACAACTCACCATAATGCAGAATCAGTGGAAGCCCTGAGCTTGTTTTCCTGCAACTAGATGCTCCCATCTGGGGTTGACGGGAGACAGTGACACCCGAAGTGTGTTGCTTATGTCCAGTCTACTCTGTAAGATGCACCTTCATTGTCACTTGCAACTCATTGATAGCATTTTGATATGAGTCTACAAGCAGTTGATTTACTGTGGTGCCTGTGCAGTCAAGCCTCTCTGCTAATGCTAATCTGTATTTGCAGCTGCTCCCCAGAGCTACCGTCAGCGCCTCAGCTCCACCTCAGATCACCAGGCATTAGATGCTCATAAGAAGCACGCAATCTAGATCCCTCGCATGCGCAGTTCACAGTAGGGTTCACGCTCCTATGAGAATCTAATGCCTATGCTGATCTGACAGGAGGCAGAGCTCAGGTGGTAATGTGAGTGCTGGGGAGCGGCTGTAAATACAGATGAAGCTTCGCTTACTTGGCTGCCGCTCACCTCCTGCTGTGTGGCCCGGTTCCTAACAGGCCGTGGACTGCTAATGATCTGTGGCCGGGAGTTGGGGACCCCTGTTATACATCATCATTATTCTTTTTCATACTCAAGTTGTCCTATATCTAGCTAGGGGGGAACCTTCTGAAACCTGCTCTTGTGTCTTTCTGATATGTCCCCCTAATGCTTTGAATGCTTCCTTGTTTTGTGGTAGAACTGTGTATTACAGTTTTAGGTTCGGCTCCAGATCTGCTATTACCCATTTCTCCAAAGAGCCTGATTTTTTTCATTAGTGAAGGGTATTTTGAAGCCAAGCCACTGGATCCTTTTGCTACTTTGCATTTTCAATAGACAGACATTTTAAGTCTTAAGTTTATATTGACATCTCCAGTTCAAATTCAGTATCTCCTAGGGTTCTTCCTTATCTTCCTCCATTACATATTTATGTATCTCTTCTCCCACTGTGAGAACCCTTGTTTCCAAAACGTTGTATCTATTCATGTTTTCTAACCAGCTGTACATACCAGTAGTTTCAGAATTATATCAATGCCACTTCCAACAGTATGTCTACTGAATAAAATTAAGATCTTTTCCAGCTCTTTTATCTTAGAGTATTTCACTAAGGATGTACAGAGTACCATGTTCAAAGGTTAGTTGAATTAATTTTTTTAACATATTTATGTTATGAATTTGTAATACAGTTCAGATTTTTTGTTTTCTCCTAACATTTTCCTTTAATTTTAGTTTTTGAATATGTAAAATAGTTGTATCATTCACAGTCAAAATGAAACAAAAAAATTTACTCTTCCCTAAAAAACTCCTTTCTTACCTGTACCCATAGGTAAACATTTTCACTAGTTTCCAGTTTTTTCTTCTTATGTTTGTTTTTGCAAAAATAAGCTTGGTGTATGTGTCATGCACACACCCTTCTCTATCCCCTTCTTTCTTAAAAGTGCCATGCTATTTATACTCCTTTTCACTTTGCTTTTTTTTCAGTGAACAATATAGACTGGAAATCATTCCCTAGCAGTTCATAGAGATCTTCCTAATTTTTTAAAAAATGGCTGTGTAATACTACATTGTTTAGATTTACCTTGATTTATTCATTAACTTTTATGGATGGAGTATTATGTGGTTTTTAGTAGTTTGCTAATAAATACACTCAGGTATAGTTAATGTAACACTTAAAACGTCAGATGTGCATGATATTTAGAATTAATGATTAAGACCCAAGTTATTTTTCAGCGTATTGAATATAGCAGTTGCAAACAGGAAGGTGAAAAGCATGTTTGATTGTTTATTTGTTATTTAATAAGATGCTACTTAAGCAAGACTTCTGTGAGGAAAGTATAGGTATAGAAATACCTGGAGAAATTGATGCCTGGTTGTTAAAACTTTTCAAAAACTTAGAAAAGCAATACAAAAATCATGGTTATAAAAAAATTTGAGTAGTATGTGAGGGTACAAGGTAAAAGTAACCAATATCATTTCCCAGATATATTATTATAGAATTTTAAATTTTACTAGAAATCTGTGAATGTACATACAATATTTATATTTTAACAAAAATGAGAATATAGTGTTACAAAAACTTTTTAAAAATTTATGGAACGTCTAGACATCTTGCAGTATGAGTTCACACACAAATCTTCCTCATTCATTAGAACAGCTTTGTAGGGAATTCCCTGGTGATGCAGTAGTTAAGACTCCACGCTTCCACTGCTGGGGGCCTGGGTTCGATCCCTGGAACTAAGATCCTGCAAGCCGCGAGGCCAAAAAAACCCCCAGCTTTGTAGTATCTCTCCTTTTATTTAACAGCTGTGTAGTATGCAATTGCTTTTAGTTTTAGTGTACAACCCTTAGGTATTATAAGCATGATGGCAGTAAACATTCTTGTACAGATATCTAGGCACGTGTATAAATCTGTAGAATAACTTCCTCAAAGTGCAATTGCCAGGTTGAATGTTTACATTTTCAGTTATTTTCAAATTGCCTTTCAAAAAAATTAATGTATCAACAGGGTATGACATATACTGCTGCTAGTAATGGTTGCAGAGACTTCATTGTGTGGAGGACATATCATAGTTTATTTATAATAAATTCCCGTTTAGACATTTGATTTTTAATAATTTTTCATAATCTTAATATTTTACTGGATCCCTGCAAAACTAAACCTATGTCCATACCCTTTAATCAGAAACTCATGAAAATTAAATTGATAGATCAAAAGCCATGTGCTTTTTAAAGGTGTTGATGATTGTTTCAAAAATCTGATAAGAATGGTTACCATTTATAGATTATATGAGCCCACATGTTTGTAAATGTGCCAGTTTTCCTAAACCATCCAAATATTAGAGCATTACTTTTTTTCAGTCTTTGTTAGCTTGAAAGAGGATGAATGGTATTTGTTTTACCTTCTTTATTTGAATATTTTAGTTGAATATTTTTTCTATGTATAATAGCCGTTTATTTATTTATTTATTTTTTTTATTTATTTTTTTTTTTGCGGTACACTGGCCTCTCACTGTTGCGGCCTCTCCAGTTGCGGAGCACAGGCTGCGGACGCGCAGGCTCAGCGGCCATGGCTCCCGGGCCCAGCCGCTCCGCGGCATGTAGGATCTTCCCGGACCCGGCCACGAACCCACGTCCCCTGCATCGGCAGACGGACTCTCAACTACTGCGCCACCAGGGAAGCCCGAATAGCCGTTTATTTTAAAGAAATTTCACGTTCATGCCTTTCTCCATATTTTTCCTTTTTCGGGTTTTTTTTTTTCTTTTTCTTTTCTTTTGCGGTACACGGGCCTGTCACTGTTGTGGCCTTTCCCGTTGCGGAGCACAGGCTCCGGACGTGCAGGTTCAGTGGCCATGGCTCACGGGCCCAGCCGCTCCGCGGCATGTGGGATCTTCCCGGACCGGGGCACGAACCTGTGTCCCCTGCATTGGCAGGTGGACTCTCAACCACTGCGCCACCAGGGAAACCCTTTTTTTTCTTTTTTGGTTTAAAATTTTTCCATTTCTTATTGAGTAGAAAATCTTTTTATATCAGAGTATTATACATTTTTTGAATATATTACAAATAATTTTCTTCAAGTTCTCTTTTTTCCCTTCTGATATATAGAAACTGATAACATTTATATATTAGCTCTATTAGTGTTATACTTAGAAAGATTTTCTTCACCCCAGCATTACATAAATAATCATTTACATTTCCTTCTAAGTAGCTAACAATTTAAAAACCGCGAATGGTTTGTACTTTCTGAGTTTACATTATTTCTAATACAGAGATAAAAATACGAATGTTAAATAAACTAGATTTGTTGAGCTCATAATGTCTGTTTAATGTTAAAGGAAATAATTTTATCATGGCAATTTTTATTTTTATTTTTTATAAATTTATTTATTTATTTATTTGGCTTTGTTGGGTCTTCGTTGCTGTGCATGGGCTTTCTCTAGTTGCGGCAAGCGAGTGCTACTCTTCATTGCAGTGCGCGGGCTTCTCCTTGCCGTGGCTTCTTGTTGTGGAGCACGGGCTCCAGGCGCACAGGCTTCAGTAGTTGTGGTACACGGGCTTAGTTGCTTCGCAGCATGTGGGATCTTCCCAGACCAGGGCTCAAACCCGTGTCCCCTGCAATGGCAGGCAGATTCTTAACCACTGCACCACCAAGGAAGCCCTACATGGCAATTTTAACTTTTTAAAGATACTTTTAGGTTTGGTAAGAGGTGCTAATGTAATGGTATATTAATATTATATTGGATATGTTATAGGTTAGATCATAGGAGACTTTTTTAACCAACATTTTTGGAGTTACAAAGAAGTTTTTGTAATTATTGCTTATCATAAAAAATGAGGGTCAGTAGTTGTAGCTGGAGAGATTCTGGGGGACAGAAGCTTCCATTCAGGTCTCTGTTTAGCTAAGCATTGGTTATGTTGCCTGACTTTCCTGTACTTCAGGTTTGTTACGTATAAAGTGATAGTAGTGATGTGTAGGGTTGTTATATGGGGGTCTCTAAAACAAAGTCACATCTTAAATTTTTTATAGACGTACATCACCTAAGTCATGAATAGAAAAGCAGTATTTAATTTAAAATTTTAGATCTGTTGAAATAGGAATAAATATTGTTCCTGCTTCTGTTTTTTACTTGAATGGTTTAATTACAAATATATTTATCTGCCTTTCTTCAGGAAGATACAGTTTTTTTCAAGGAGCAACTTCGTAAAGCAGAGGAACAGGTTCAGGCAACTCGGCAGGAAGCTGTCTTTCTGGCTAAAGAACTTAGCGATGCTGTAAATGTGCGGGATAAGACAATGGCAGATCTGCACACTGCACGCTTGGAAAATGAGAGAGTGAAAAAGCAGTTAGCTGATGCAGTGGCAGAGCTTAAACTAAGTGCTGTGAGAAAAGACCAGGTAAAGCGGGTTAATTTTGAATTTCCATTGGTCAAAAACTCACGATAAGCTTATGAAAGAGAATTGAGTTATGTTAAAATAATTGAGGTCAGATTCCTGGTCACAGAATTTTAAATTGCCATTCATTTTGTTTTAGTCATTGTAACTTCTTGGTTTGAAATTAATGCAGGCTTTAAGAAAAACTTCTGTAAGCAAATTCCTAATTGTTAGTAAAAACTGCTCTATTATTGTTAATTAAACTTCCTGATATGAGGTATATATTGCTTTGTTTAGAATTTATTTACTAGCTGCATAAAATGGTACTGTAGTTATTTAACAGGATATGCTTGCTTCTCAGGAGATAGAATATTCTTTTCAAGTGTTTTGTTTTTGTTTGTTTGTTTTTTAATGAACCTTAGTCCTAGGAATATAAAGCTGGATTTGTTAGGAGACCTAATGTGACTCTGTAGCCAAAACTCCAAAACAAATAAAAACTAAGAGCCAGAAAGAAAAAAGCGAAAAGAAAGTTGGATTTACTACTACATTATGAGATATGAGATTTTTATGTTTCTCTTAGAGGAAGAGTTTATTTCTCTCTTAGGAAAAGACTGATACACTGGAACACGAACTGAGAAGAGAGGTTGAAGATCTGAAACTTCGTCTTCAGATGGCAGCAGATCATTATAAAGAAAAATTCAAGGAATGCCAGAGGCTCCAAAAACAAATAAACAAACTTTCAGACCAATCAGTAAGTATAATTGAATTCATCACAGTAAAATAATTCCTTTATCAATGTTTTTGTTTACAAATCAAATTTATAATGTTATACCCTTTGAATATAATTTCTCTCTGCTTCATTTCACATTACTTGGCCTAATATTGTAGTGATAATTTTTTTTAAATCTGGAATTTTTATTTGTTGGAGAAATAAAATGTTCTGTTTTGTAACATTTAGGTCAGTTAGTAAAGTCATGTGTGTAACTTTGGTCTTTGTTGGCCTTTAACACAGCAGCAGCTTTGTGGACTTTTCAGGATTTATTTATATGATGTATGGTTGCTGAAGGAGGGAAGTGTAACTCATTTAACCATTGATTGTTAACATTTTGAACAGGCTAATAACAATAGTGTCTTCACAAAGAAAATTGGGAGTCAGCAGAAAGTGAATGATGTCTCAATAAACACAGACCCAGCTACTGCTGCCTCTACGCTTGATGTAAAGCCACCACCTTCTACAGGTAAAAATCTTTTAGACTTTTTGTATAAAGTGTCCTGCCTTGAAAAGTATTTATACTCATTTATACTCCCTGTTCCATGTGTCAGAATTTTAGGGAGCTTTTAAAAAAATCCTTCTAAGTGAGGGATTGAGGCAAAGGGAAAGTAAAGGTCTAAAAGCAAAGGGAAAGTAAAGGTCTAAAAGTAAGTCATGCATGTGGTGAATATACAACATGTGAGTGTGAACTAGTATTTATCTTCGTGAGCATGGTTAATCAAATGAGCTGGTGTTTGTAAGTGCAAATGCTTATAGTATTTGATCTATAGGAAGAGAGCCAAGAATTGAATTTTTAATATTCTAACACTGTGGAATTCTGAACCATTTATGGCACTTTAATTGTACAATTCTGTGGGGGAAAACTTAAAAATCCCTTTAATTCTATTCATGTTTCTCTCTTTCTTGCCTTTTTTTTGTTTTTGTTTTGTTTTGGCTGCTTTGGATCATTAGGGTACTTTCCTCACTAGTGTACCTGTTGGTGGATAAATTAAATATTTTATTAGTTTATTAACTTACAGAACAGATTAGAGAGACATAGTGAATACATTAACAACATGAAAATTTAAATTAACTCTAGGTTTTCAGTTGTCCTAATGTCTTTTTTTCACCTTATGTTAAAGATTTGACAATAACAAAAATAAATACTAGAGCATGTAAAGTATATTTCATTGTGTAGTGTTTGGGGCAATTGGTGTTTTAGACTTTTTAAATGTATTATAAGTTTCCTATACTATTAAATATTTAGATTCAACTGCTGTAGAACAGGATCCTGCCTTCCATTTCTATATATCCTGTGTAGTACCAAGAAAGGTGTCATATTGACTTAATAAAGACTTATTGAATAGTAGTGAAGGACTAGAAAAATGATTTAATATGTATTCTCAAAGAGTATGGCTTTCCTATATATCCTATCTATTAAGTATATCGAGAACAATTTCTGTGCCATTTTAGAACTATTTTTAGCTAGTTAAAAAATAATGATTTTTTAAATTAATGAATGAAAAAATTAAAATTAAAAATTCTCATCTAATGTTTATATTGTCCTTCTCTATTTAGTGTATGAATAGATGTTTTAAAATAGATGTTTCTCTCCTTTAGTATTCCATTTATTATATTTCACAGTGTACTGACCCTCAGGTTATTCTGACCAAGAAGATAATACAAGGATCAAAATAATTTTTAATAATCTTTTAATTTTCTGCCTTGTTATAGCTGAGGTAGATTTTGACAATCTAACTAAGGGACAAGTCTCTGAAATGACCAAAGAAATTGCTGCAGAAAAGTATAATAAATGTAAACAACTCTTGCAGGTAAGCTAGCTCTCTTGTAAGAGAGATATTTATCAAATGTAATGGCTTAGCTTATCTTTATTGTTTTGATGGATGGGTATCCCAGGGTTTCTTTTTTATACCCATATACTGATATTTAGTTTCACTTTTGAGATGATAAGTGGAGGTTGTTCTGTGTACCTGTTCATGTAGGCATGTGTGTAAAATCATGATCCTTGGGAAATCCTTGGTGGTCCACTGGTTAGGATTCAGCACTTTCACTGCCATGGGCCTGGGTTCAATCCCTGGTTGGGGAACTAAGATCCCACAAGCTGCACAGCATGGGCAAAAAAAAAAAAAACACACGATCCTGAAACTATTGTTTTCTGTTCCCCTGATGTCCTTCTCTTGATAATGGGCAAGTGATTAATTGAGGTTGGTGTTGGATATTGTCTGTCTTCTTCTGATAAGGATACATGAAAAATGTTTGAACTGCATAAAAGGGAAGTATTCTTTTTTACACTTACTGTAATAATAGCAAAGACTTTCACCACATCCTAAAGTGACTAGATTTGTAAAGTGGAAAAAAAGGAATGGTACCCAAATGAGTGGTTGCCTTTATGGTATTATTTTGATTATATTAAACTATTGTTCAAACATTTAAGTTTTACAACTTCCTAGTAGTATACACTCCTGGAGTATTTAAAGGACAAAGGGAAAATACTTCTTATTTGTACCTGATTTGGGGAAGAGAGGAAAAGATGTTTTGTGTATGTTTTTCATTCGTTTAATTAAATTTTTTTGTGTGTGTTTGTTTCTCTGTTCATGTGGAGAGGAGAGGGATAATTTTTAGAGCCATATAAGGAAATTCATGTATTATTATAGTAATTAACTTAAAATATTTTATGTTACTGTCTTGATAATATTAGTTTAATGTAATCCTTTAGTCAGACTTTGAACTGAACATTTTTGTTCCTTCAGAAGATCATTCTGTAGAAGGTTGATTAGAACAGTATTACCCTGAGGTCAAAGTAGTTGCTTGTAAGGGACTAACCTATTATTTAGTAAGTATGAAACAATTTTGGATGAATATTTTAAAAAATCTCATTATATAGTATTATTGAAAGGAAGATAGAGTATTCTTTCAAGCTAGAAACTTCCTCAAGGTAATTTTTTTTTTTTTTTTTTACAATTGTAGTACAATTGAAATTCAATAAACTGCATATATTTAAGGTCTGCAGTTTGTTCAGTTTTTAAATATATATATATATATATATATATATATATATATATGTAGTTGTGGAACTATCACAGTGTCAAGCCAATGAACATTTCCATTACTCCATTAGCTTTTTTGTACTCATTTACAACTCATCCCTCCCTCTCTCACCACTCCTGGGAAACCATTGGCTTGCTTTCTGCCACTATAGATTAGCCTATCTTTTGTCCCGTTTCTATAAATGGAATCATATGGTATGTTCTTCTTTTCCTGTCCCCTTTCAGCACAGTTATTTTGAGATTTGTTTATGTTGTTGCTTGTTATTGGTAGTTTATTCCTTTTTTTGTTTGTTTTTTAATAAATTTTATTTATTTAAAAAATTTTTTAACATCTTTATTGGAGTATAATTGCTTTACAATGGTGTGTTAGTTTCTGCTTTATAACAAAGTGAATCAGTTATACATATACATATGTTCCCATATCTCTTCCCTCTTGCGTCTCCCTCCCTCCTACCCTCCCTACCCCACACCTCTAGGTGGTCACAAAGCACCAAGCTGATCTCCCTGTGCTATGAGCTGATAACCCTGTGCTATGCAGCTGCTTCCCACTAGCTATCTGTTTTACATTTGGTAGTGTATATATGTCCATGTCACTCTCTCACTTTGTCCCAGCTTACCCTTCCCCCTCCTCGTGTCCTCAAGTCCATTCTCTAGTAGGTCTGTGTCTTTATTCCCGTCTTGCCCCTAGGTTCTTCATGACGGTTTTTTTTTTTAGATTCCATATATATGTGTTAGCATACGGTATTTGTTTTTCTCTTTCTGACTGACTTCGTATAGTTTATTCCTTTTTATTGTGAGTTCATCTTCTGCCATTTAAAAAATTGGGTTCATCTTATTATTGAGTTGTAAGTGTTCTTTATTCCAGATACAAGTCTTTTGTCAGATATGTGGGGTAAATATCTTCTCCCAGTCTGTGGCTTGCCTTTTTATTTCCTTAATGGTGTTTTTAGAAAAAGTTTTAGTTTTGCTGAAGTACAGATTATCAATTTATTGTTTATGTGTTCTTTGTATGTTCTAAGAAGATATTTACTCCTCCAACTTGTAATGATTTTCTCTTGTTTTCTAGGAGTTTTGTAGTCTTAGGTTCTTTTAGGCCTGTTAACCATTTTAAGTTTATTTTTGTGTATGGTGTGAGGTGTGGTATGTATAGTAAGGATATTTAATTGATCCAGCATTATTTGTTGAAAAGACTGCTCCATTGAATTGCTCAAAGCATAAAGCATATATTTTTTCTTTTCTTTTTAATTAAAAAAAATTTTTTTATTGGCCTTGTTGCATGACTTGTGGGATCTTCGTTCCCTGACCAGGGATCAAACCTGTGCCCCCTGCAGTGGAAGCATGGGGCCCTAACCACTGGACCGCTGGGGAAGTCCCTCGTCATGTTTTAAAACTCCATTCTTTTAACATTCTGGGTTGTAGAGAAGAGCAATGTATAAGAAATCCATCTAAAGATTGTCTTTATCAGGAAATCCCAGAGTTTTAATTATTAATATATGGAAACAATAGCATTATAAATATGTGATTTTTATTATATCCTTTGCAAAAGTAATGTGTGCTTATTGTGAAATCTTATGGTGTTACAGAAATGAAGAATAAAGGTGGTAAAAAGTACCATTTTGATCCTGATCCCCAGATATAAGGGCTATTAATATTTTGGTTAATGGAATTCCTTGGCAGTCCAGTGTTTAGGACTTCGAGCTTTCACTGCCGAGGGCCCACGTTCATTCCTTGGTCAGGGAACTAATTTCCCACTAGCTGTGTGATGTGGCCAAAAAAAAATAATAAATTTGGTTTATTTTTTCTACATATACTACGTAGACATCACATAAAATTGTGTTAACTTGTTAAGCAGAAATGGGATTATACTATATATTCTGTTTTTGCAACTTGATATTTTCAATTAATGTATTTTGCCATTTTTCCTTGTTAATTTTTAGATCACTTTGTTCTTTTTCAATAAATATATTCTGTTCCATTGTATGGATATAAAATGATTTGTCCAATCTTCCACTGACAGACATTTTGGTTATTTGAATTTTTATACCTTTACAACAGTGTTATAATAAGCATTCAGCACAAGTATGTTTGTATAGATATTAGCTGTATATGGATTTAAAATCTTTTGGTAATTATACTAATTTCATTTAGGATGAGAAAACAAAATGCAATAAATATGCTGATGAACTTGCAAAAATGGAGCTGAAATGGAAAGAACAAGTGAAAATTGCTGAAAATGTGAAACTGGAACTAGCTGAAGTAGAGGAGAATTACAAAGTAAGTTTACTATTCGTATAACTTGAGGCATAGTAACTGATACTTTTGAAAATGTGCTATCTATAATTTGGTCAATCTAATGTAAAGTTTCAACATGGGTAATTGGGATAGTATTTTCGTGTGTAGATAAAAATGTACTGTGTATTTAGTTATGTTGAATACAGTTCATTAACTATGAACTGAGAAAATAGATACCCATATGCATTGCCATTGTGGCTTTCATTTTGAGGATTCAGATGGCTATTGAAATTATATCTTTAAATCATGCTTAGTTTTTAAGATGAAAGTGATCATTTCATATTCCTTGTTCACTTAATTATGAATGTGTTTGTAAAATTATTCTAGGGCCTTGGTGGTTTTTTGGGGTAGTGTAATAAGATAGGATCAGTAATTTTAAAAATTTATGTAAAGGTTTTAAAATTTATCACCAAAATGTGTTACTTGTGATCCTGAATGAGATACTGCAGAGTAAGCAATACAGTCTTAATTAATGAAGATTATTTTTGCCAATTTAACATTAGGCAACAAACAAGCCTGAATGGTAAATGCTATTTGTAAAAATGTTGGAGAAGAAAATTAGTAGGCTGTATAGCTAATTAATAAGTGGAAAGACATTTTCCCTCTAAGTAATAAAATGTAATCTTAAGTATTTTAAGGTATGTGCATGTGTGTATAATTGGCATTTTTGTGTGTGTGTGTGACTAAAGGCCTGGAAGTTCTAAATGATTTAAATTTTCTCTGTCATGGCTAATTGTACCTGTAATCTAATTTTAAAACATAACATTCTTAAAGACACCGAGAATTACTTTGTTTGGGTTGGTACAGGCTAAGGTAATTTAACTGCTTGATCCTTTTTTATCTTCAGCTGCTGTCAGAATGAAATTTTGAACTTATTTCATGAGGTTTTTGTTGTTCCTGGGATCACTGAATATTGTTTTTATTGCCTGGGAACTTCTGTTATTATTAAAAAGTATGAATACTGGATTTATATGAAACTTTATTTTTGCAGATTGATTAGGAAAAATGATTTAGTAAATATTTACTGAAGCCTATTAAATATAAAGCACTATGTTAGCTATTATGTGGTTGATCATATAAGTAAGGCACAATGCTATGCTTAAGGAGTTTATAATCTATCTAGTAAAGAGTGCTAGAAGTGTAATCATGATATTCAAAACTCTTTCACATTCACAACCTAGGTAATCATCTTTCAAACCCATGGGAAGCTAAATAATATTTTTATTTCATTAATGATAAAAATTAACATCGAGATTAAACAACATATTTAAGGTTGTACAACTGGTGACAGTGCTTGGCTTTTTGTTTAGTGCCTTTCCCCTTATTTTGTGCTGCTTAGACACAAACACCACGAGGCAAGGCAAAATGTGATGAAGTTCTACATAAGCTGTAAGTCTAAGTACTTTAGGGCTGTTTCCAATGGAATGTTTAGGAGTTAGGTATTATGGAGCAACTAGACCTGTGAAAGACCAAACAGGAGGGGAGGATAGACAGCTGGGAAAAGAAAGAAACATCTTTCTAAACACATGGAAAAGCATTACAGGTTTGGAGGTCAGAAGTAGAGAGCATACTCTGGGAGCTGTGACAGTCTTGAGTAATAGGACTTCACTATCTGTGATGGAGTAGATAGATGTGAAAGATAGGTTGAAGCCAGATTTGGGGGGACTTAAACTGGAATGTGGGTGCTATTTGCTGTTAAGAATTTTCTAAGAGAAAAGGGAACCAACCAGAGTGGGTCTTTATGAAAATAATTTGGTAGCACTGAGACGATTTACAGGTGGGAAGGGTTTTTGAAGGTAAGAAAATTAGGTACAAATATTCTTAGAATGAATTGATAAAGGCCATCTCCTTGGATACCTTCCCCAATCACCTACCACTGAATCTTATCAAGGAAAGCCTTAGGGAAAAACCATTGAAGAATAGTTTAATTTGTATCCATAATGCTTATGCTGTAAAAGGCAAATAATGGGTAGTTGTTGAATAAATGAAAGACTTGGAGACTGAAAATGTTGAAGAGTAGAGGAAGAGGAGAAGGAATGTTTAATATACTTTCCTAGCTTCAATCACAGTGGACTCTGAGATTAATAATATCAGTTAACAAAAATAGAAAAGTAGGTTTGGGACATATTACCCTTACAGTGCAGAAGGACAACAGTGAAAATATGTTTACCCATCAATTAAAAAGGCATATTCGGATCTTGGGAAAGAGAGAGTGTAGCGCATGAGTTAATATTTGTGATTTATTCATATGAGCATGATTGTTGAAGGCATAGAAGAAAGGGAGTTTACAGAGAATGTAGAGAGAAGAAGCCAAAGAAGAAACTTTGGAGAATACCTATATTTGTAATGGTGAAGAAGCAGACTTTTAAAAAAGAGCATGAGAGGATGACAGTGTTGGTGCAGTTTCACATAAACCGGGGGAGAAGCTTTAAGAGTAAGGGAAGTTAGTCAATAATGACAGGTAATTCAAAGATGTCAAAGAATAAGGACAAGGAAAATACATGGATATGGTAATAGGAATTATTTTGATAGAATGGTATAAACTAACTCTTGAAGGGTAAGGAGAGAGTAGATGATGAAAAATAATGATAATTTCTTTCTCTCTTCAGCTTCAGTTGGCAGAGAAGGACAAAAAGATAAATGGTCTAACTTCATATTTGGAAAACCTCTCCAGGGAGAAGGTATTGAACAGTGTACTTAAAAAAAAGTTTCATGTGACACTGAATGATAATACAGCTTTATGAAGGGACACCCATTTTACAGTTAGGGTGATTTTTTTTTTTAAAGTTAAATGACTAAAGAAAAGACAAACAGGTGTTATAAGACTTCTGGTGGAAAACGTTTTTAGTTAAATAATATTTAAAATGATTTTGTTAGGGGAAAAATGCTCAAGTGTTGAAACTTAGTTTGATTTTTGTTACATAGTTTGTATTTAACAAACAGTTTTACAGTGTTCAAATTTAAGAGAACAGTAAACAAATTTAAAATTATAACTAATGTATTTATCTGGTTTTCTTTTGTAATAGGAAACATTTTAGAAGTTGTTTAATGATTTGTAGCATAACCTAACATTCAGAGCATACATTTATAATATAAAATATGCTGTAGTGCAACATTTCTCACAGTATGGTCTGTGATTCTTTGGGGGTCCCCATCCCCTTTCAGAGGTCTACAAAGATAAAACAGTTTTCGTAATATTACAGTATTTGCTTTTTTCCCTATTCTGTTAAATTTGCACTGTTGGTATAAAAGCAGTGGTGGGAGAACTGCTGGTGTATTAATATTGAATCAAGGCAGTGGCACCAAACTGCACTAGTAGTTACTGTATTCATCCTATCCATGCATTCACAGTTTAAAAAAAAAAAAGTTTCACTTAAGATGTTGAAACAGTAAAATATTAATTTTATTGAAGCTTGACCCTGGGGGGTGTTTTAAATATTCTGTGTTGGAATAGGAATTACTCCCAAAGCACTTTTGCCTAATGAAGTAAAGTGGCATTAAAGTACCTTTAAAGGTAAAGCACTGTGTGATTGAGTTCTAAGCTGAACTAGCCTCTTTTTACATGGCACATCATTTCTATTTTAAAGAATGGCTAATAGACAAAATTTGGTTATTCAGACTGGGGTATTTGGCACATATTTTCTTGAAAAGAAGGGAAGTGAGCCTGTTATTTTTTTATTTTTTTTTGCGGTACGCGGGCCTCTCACAGTCATAACTTATTATAAGCTAAACAAAAGTTAGCAGAGCTTGTGCCTTTGTGGGGAAAGGTCAACCATATATATAGAATTCCACCGACTAAATTATCTTGAAAATTGCCCTTTTTCACATTATGTTCATATAATTTCATTTAATATAGTTTGTTAGGGTACCACATTTTTTTTAAAATTAATTTTTATTGGAGTATGGTTGCTTTACAATGTATTTGTTAAAACACAGATTTCTGGCTTCCATTCCCAGAGTTTCTGATTTGTAGGTCTGGGGTGGGGCTTGAGATTTGCACATTTAACAAGTTCCTGACGCTACTGGTCTGGAGACCACACTTTGAGAACTGTTGTAGTCACTCGGGCCTTACAACTCATGAATTGCTTTCTTGTTTCAGGGCCCTTGTTCATGTACTTTGCTAGGAATATTCTTGCCTACAATTTTTTGTTAACTTTTTTTTTTAAAGAAGAATTTTTTTTGGCCGCGCCACGCGGCATGTGGGATCTAAGTTCCCCAACCAGGGATCAGACCTGTGCCCCCTGCAGTGGAAGCACGGAGTCTTAACCACTGGACCGCCAGGGTAGTCCCAGAAGAATTTAAACATATGTAAGAAGAGAAGAATATAACGAACTCAGTTGTACTTCTCACCCAGCAATCAACAGATGTTACTTTGTGGCATCTTATTTTAATTTTCTTTAATTTAAGTCTTTTTTTAATTGAATTTGTTACAGTATTGCTTCTGTGTGTTTTTTTAAAATAATTATTGAGCACCTACTATATTCCAGGTTTTTTATTTATTTATTTATTCATTTCTGGCTGTGTTCGGTCTTAGTTTCTGTGCGAGGGCTTTCTCTAGTTGCGGCGAGCAGGGGCCACTCTTCAACGTGGTGCGCGGGCTTCTCACTGTCGCGGCCTCTCTTGCTGCGGAGCACAGGCTCCAGATGCGCAGGCTCAGTAGTTGTGGCTCACGGGCCTAGTTGCTCCACGGCATGTGGGATCTTCCCAGACCAGGGCTCGAGCCTGTGTCCCCTGCATTGGCAGGCAGATTCTCAACCACTGCGCCATCGGGGAAGCCCCCTTGCTTCTGTTTTTATGTTTTGGTTTTTTTTTTTTTTTTTTCTTCAGGTGGATTATAGTGCAGTTGATCAGTTTTTGGCCGTGAGGCATGTGGGATTTTAGCTCCCTGACCAGGGATCGAACCCACATCCCATGCATTGGAAGGCAAAGTCTTAATCACAGGACCGCCAGGGAAGTCCCAGTGCCATCTTATTTTATCTGTT